TGTGTGTGTGTGTGTCTGTGTGTGTGTGTGTGTGTGTGTGTGTGTGTCTGTGTGTGTGAGTGTTTCGCAGCTATCGGTACAGGTTCACGAAAACTTAAATCACTGGTTTGTTGATTAAACTGACAACCGGTTTTTGGTGGTAGCTCATCCTGGATTGTGTGAGATAGTACTCATGCCACCTGTTGTACACTTCTTGTTCAACATCCTAATTTACAAAATCTGTTTTATTATTGGTCTGTCCCCCACTTTCCAAATAACCAATTACATCTTTGAACCATTATCTTTCCTTCTTGTCTTTAAGCTTCTGAACCCTCAGCAATTCTTTTTTATTTTACATTGTTCTTCGTCCTATGCTCCATAACTTTAAATGGTGTTAGGACGGCTGATCCCATCTTCGAATATTGAAGTCAGATGAAATCCTAAAAGTGACTCCATACTTATGTAAATTTCAAAGCCAGTTGAAGCAAAATACTGCAGATGCTCAAAGTACGAAATAAGAACAAAGTACTGGAGAAATTCAGCAGGTCTGGCAGCATCTATAGAGAGAGAAACAAAGTCAACATTTCAAGTCTAATGTGATTGCTCTTCAGAACTGAATGGGGCTGGTAAATAGTTTTTTGTAATGTTTTTGTCGGGGTAGGGGAACGTGGAGTAGGATTGAGTGGAACAGATTTCAAGAATGACTAGAGAAACATACAAGAGGAATGTTGATGTTGATAAAGGAGAATGGACATCTGAAATAGGTATAACTGAAGGTGTATAAAAGAGAAAATAGGCTAGTTCTGCTGCCAATAGACTTGCTTTGGCAGATGAAAATCTCAGTGTAAATGTTGTGATGAAAGATGTCTGATTTTTACATACATATGAATATATATAGATTTTTTTTAGCGATTAGATTTCAAAATAGTGGCATATAAGTGTTGGTTAAGTTTGTAAAAGGTTTTAAAAAATAACTAGGTTAATCAGTCCTTCTGCAACAATAATCTAATCAAGAATAAATCAGAGAGTGGGGAATCCCTAAAATGTGAGGAGAAAGTTGCTAGTTCTGTGTTGGGTTTATGACACAGAATGTAAACATCAAGGGTTTGTTTTTTGTTCAGGATGATCAAGGATTTATTTTAGCTTAGAAAAAACTCAGAGATTGGAGTTTTGGAGGAGACCTGGCCAGGGTCAGGAGTGTGTTATAATTTTTCTCCTAGAAAGGAGTATATACTAATGACATAATAAGTTACATTGGCAGACAGTTAATTCGTGTAACTTAGCCCACGAGTGTTTAGTTAGAAATCTGCAGCATATTGAAAGTGGAGGAAGTCTAAGCTCTCAGGTTTGTGAGTGAACATGCGAAAGTGTTTCGCAGTTCACAGGAAAGAACTGGAAAAGATCAGTTGAATTTTAAAGATTTGAGACAGACAGGTACTTTCTCTGAATTTGATGCTATATAGTGATGATGTTGGGGAATAGGTGAAAATTTTGTTTTGCAGTGCATTTTAATATTTTCCTATACTGCATTCTATATTTAAATAGCTTATTGTGATTGATTTTATCACTTTTCCATCTCTGTACTAAACCTTTATTTTATTGTTAAAGAATATCTGTCGACTTGAACACCTGTGTTTCAGCAAATTATCATCATATTAGATAAAAGATAATATCAAGCCAGATTTCATCCTGGGATCTCACCTGTTCTGTAGTTACAGCATCTAGGATGACAGGAATTCTCCCATTAGCTTGTGATCAAATTAACTGATCATCCTGGAACAGCACCAAGGCCACAATAAACAATCCATTATTTAATATGGGACTTGCCAACCCATCATACATTACAGTAATGATAGACAAACCCTCTGTTTTACTCTTTGCCCCTTTACATCATGAATATCATGAAACTCCAATCTCAAAATTCACTGTTTATTCTGTACTCTCAGTTATTCACAGCTGCATCTGAATTTTCCTGCTGACAGTTTAAATTTCTTAAAGATTCTGCTACCTCTCATCATCTTTTGGCTTCCAATTGCCAACTTCTTTTACTGCCTCCCCAGTGAGTTACCAATGGGATTCTTCTTATCAAACATGTCTAGAAGATAAATAATTATGGAAAAAGCTGTTTGTCTTAAGGATGCTTTATATCCTTTGCACCTGCATACCTGCGGCAACAGTTGAAATCAACTAATCTTTTTGTTTGACATTGTACAACAAGAGGCTTCTGTTCCCAAAGGAAGCTAATGGCAACTGAGCAATGTGTGAATACCTACTCAATATTATACTAAATGAGTCATTAAAAAGTCATACAATTTAATGATATCTAAATCTGTCCATGCAGCACCCATACTTTGGGCATTAACTAGCCTCCTAAACTTCCTATGTAGCAGACAGAAAGCACTTGATAAAATCAGGTTGCAAGTGTGCCTCTGCAAACATATTGATTTTGACTTCTTGTCCCTCCCTTTCATCCTCCTATTCCGCTCCACTCCTGCAATTTAAGTGATAAACTGATATATTGTATGATGAAGTCAAAGTACGAAACCACCTGGATGTCTGCACTGACTGATGCTAAGTTATTACCTTTGTTTGAGAGATCACAAGAAGGTGTAGAATTTGAAAAATGTCATGTTGGTGGCGGTGGAGAATTTTTCAGGCCATGAATAAAATTCATCACTAGGGTAGCAGAAAATAAGCTGTATTAATTGTAACTTGTGTTGCAACTAAAATTGAAAAGTTCCAATTTTCCAGCTGTGTTACCTTTATTCCGATGAGCAAAATTCACTCCACGAAATAAAATACTGCACTCTTACATGAAAGCTCTGCGCAGACACATATAATGCAATGCTAGTTTGATGCAGTTGGCAGCACCTAAGAAGGTAAGAATATAAAAAGGAACAGGAGGAGTCCTTTTAACACCTCCTAACTGCTCCGCCAGTCAAAAAGATTATGGCTGATCCGATTTGACCTTAAGTCCACTTTCCTGCCCTGTCCCCCATAACCCTTGGCCCCCTTTTCAATCAAAAATCTGTCTGACTCAGTCTTGAATATGTTCAATGACACATTGTCTCTTGGGTACCCATCGAACTGTCATTCAAGTCCAGTGCTTTGCAAGTCTGGATTTTCAAGAGGTCCCTTCAGTTGTTCAGTGTCGTTCTAGCCAGCTTCACTAGTTAATGAACCATGGCATGCTCAGAAAAAGAAACAGTTCTCTGGTTATGCTAGTTTACATTCCCCTGTCAGTGAATACCACCAATAATTGTCTAACTTATTATTGCTGATCCTGCAAGCTTGCTGAGCACAAAATAGAAATATGGTGACTGAACTGCAAAATAATTAATCAGTACTGCATCTATTTAAGGCATAATAAAACTCTTAAGCTAATTCAAGTTTTTAGATATTGTATTTGTTTAAATGCATTTATATTCTATATAGATTACAGACAATGGGTGTCGCTGGCAAGGCTAGCAATTATTGCTCATTACTAGATTCCCTTAACTGAGTCTTTTGTGAGACCATTTCCGAGGGCAGTGAAGAACCAACCTCATTGCTGAAGGCACATAAAAGTCAGACTGGGTATGGATGGCAGATTTCCCTCCTTAAAGAAAATTGTGAGCCAGGTCAGTTTTTTTTTATGATAATCTGGCGGTTTCGAAGTCATCATTACTGAGGATAGCTCCACATTCCAGATTCAATTTATTAACTGAATTTGATTTGTAGTTACCATGATGAAATTTGAACTATTTGCCTTATTCCTGAGTCTATGCCTCCAGAACACTAGTGCAGTAATATAACCAATATGCTGCTATTGTAAATTTATCTTTAGTTAGTATATATATTGTTCACATGACATAAATATATAAATATCTATTTTATATAAATATTTAATATAATTACATAAATATTTATTTTTTATTTGTGTCTTTTATTTCACAAGAAGGAAAACACTGAGCCTATAAAACTCCAATTGATCCACATAATTTTAGTGTATTCACATCAACTGCTTCCAACCATTCATTTCTTACAAAACACAACCTAGCTAAGACTTACACTGAGGGAGATTACTCATTGTTAGGTTCTTCACATCATTGTTTGTAGCAGCTTTATCAGTGATACATGACTTCCATGTAAGTACTGTATAGATATAAAAAAAACCAAGCTTGCCAGCTTATCTTCAGAATCATGCTCATGGGAATTTCTCAAGCAGTGTTCATATTCACATCCACACCTCTTAGGAACTAACCATGCATCAGCTGCATACAGACCAATTTTGTGAGAGATCAATTCAGTTGCTTAGAGTAGTCAAAGCTATTTGGGCCGAAAACAACATGACTGTAATGAGAAGTAGTAGCTGCTGCAATAAAGAAAGACTGCAGTTCAGAAATAATAAGTTTTTAAAGATAAACAATTGTTCTACCTGGAGAGACTACAATTCATGTATCTTTTAATTTGTGCTTTGTTCTTCAGATCACGCCCTGTTCCTGAACACTAGGGAGACTCTGATAGCTGACTTCAATGAGTTGAGAAGCCCAATTTTTCCAACTCCTATCCGGAACTCTGCATGTGAGGCAAGTCTGTTGTTTCTGCTTTACCCAAAGGCTCATCACTGTGTTTCCAAACAATTATTTATATGTCCATATAAGAGAAATGTGCCAGCAAATCATACTTCTTTGAAGGCCTCACTGGGATCCTTAATCTATCACCTGTCCATCCAGAGAACTAACTGCTAAGAAATTAATACAAAAGCAAAATACTGTGAATTGTGGAAATCTGAAATTACAACAATCAGGTAAATGATGGAAAACTTAATAAGTTTGGCAGCATTGTGGTGAGAGAAACAAAGTTAACTATTCAAGTCTGTTGAAGAGATGCAGACCTGAAACGTTGAGCTGGGTAAACTGAAGCTGATCGCAGTGGGAACCATAGCAGCCAGGCTCAGTTAATTATAGAAGAAGCCCTATGTCATTCTCCAATCATGAGGAAGCCCCGATGGTGGCCTCCTTAGTGCCTGAAAGGCACTTGATTCTGTCGAGTCTCCCTCACGAATTGATGGGGCTTCCCCACTGACTGGTAGGCAGGACACTTGTTAGCCTGACAGATTCCCAGCTGTTTGCCCCACAGGTGTTGAGTCCTACTGAATCTTCCTGTTTTCTGTTTTTTTTCGGTTTTTTTGACTGTAACTAAATATTCAGCCATGAGCTGCAAATATTGGTGGCTATTTGGATCTTTATATGATTTGTTTTTAGAATTTGCAATTGGTTTAGACATTGCTGTAACTGTACACTGCACACTGCTGTACACTGTATTTATAGCCTTATATTTGATACTGACATCATTTAAAAATTGTTGTAATAGTGTTATATATTTAAGGATCAGAGTAATTGCAGAGCAAAGATAGAGTCACATAAATAGATTTCTGTACCTAATTATCTGACTCATTCTTCCCTACCTGATGAATTGTGAAGAGACTATGGTCAAACAAATCACAATGATCCACACAGATTCCAAAGCTACACCATAAGCATGCCCACTCTGAACTATAATTCGACCAGAATGTGCATTCATGAGAACATTTGGAAGAATCTTCAAACAAATAGGAAGGGTTTAGAGGGATATGGGCCAAATTCTGGCAAATGGGACTAGGTCAGATTGGGATCTGGTCAGTATGGATGAATTGGACTGAAGGGTCTGTTTCTGTGCTGTATGACTCAATGGCTTTAGATGGGTCAAATGGACAACACTATTCAATCCCTTCTTAAGGTCCTCACTGTCATACATATCATTGGCCAAACAATAACGTTTAGTCTATGTGATATTAAGAAATGACTGAGGACACAGCAAGGACTAGGAATCCTTTAAGCTTTCCAGTTGTACTGACCAAATGAACATGGTTATCTCTGCCTTGTCGAATGAACAAGAACATGATGTATGTGATAATAAGACCAAGTTTGTCTTATTTTTTAACCATTGTAGATTTAATTTATCCAAGAAAAAACATTTTAGGAAATATTTGCTGAAGCTCCACTGTTCGTGGAAGCAGGCAAAGGTAGGACATTAGCCCACAGCTGCAAGTACCCAATTTCATAACGGACAACTTTTGGATTTAGCACTTGGTGGCACTACTAGTGCAACTATTAACATGCAAAGGTCTCACCACCTTTGATCGATTATTGCATTACTGAAATACCAACAGTGTGTGGATGACTGTCCTTGTTTGCTGCTTAGATATTGTGAAATGGATAATAAACTTGTAAATCTCCTAGGACTATGTGTCAACTTGAAAATTCTGCAGTGCACACCTGCACCAAGTGAATGGTGGATATTCTATTTTCTAAATTGCTCCAATTGGAGTGAGCTTTCATAGACATGCAGATTTCTCTTATGGTTTGGCCTGGTAATGGAAGCTACCATTAAGAAAAAGGAAAAGATAAATTGGTCTATTTACTCTGAAACAAATTTGAAGTGCATTTTATCTGCCATTTCTCTCACAGAAGTAAAAATGTATGCTATTCTAAAGAAGGATTGCAACAAAGTAAGTGTTGCAAAGTTAGGTATTTCATAATAATATTACAACCAATTTACTCATACATTGTCTTTTAATTCCTTCGTGAAAAATTCAAAACCTTCCTCCTTCTCAAAAGCCTAGTCATCGATGTTATGATTTTCACCAGGAAAACTGAAGGGTTTCCCACACAGCTGACTGTGTGCAGTTTGCAGAATCTCTCGACATTACACGGAGAGTTCTCTCTTGTTTCTCAAGCTGCAATCTTTTATATCCTTATTATGCAGCACCATTTCTATGCTCTGTATTGGAAAAGACTTCAAACCAACTGAAGCATTTTGAACGCTGAAATCAGGTCATCTTTCATAACCTATTACTGAAAGCTTATATTTCCTTGCAGAAGCATTAGTCAGAGTGAAAGAATGAGCACCTGTAATTGCTTTGAACAAACAACGCATAAATTTAATTATACGTGATTGAAAAATGTATTTTTCCTGAAATGTATCATAGTGGAAACCTTATTACTGTACTGGGGCTTTTCTCAAAGAGAAATCAAGCTGAAATTTGTAAATTTAGGAAAACACAGCAAGCTAATTAAATCATCCGTGTTTCAGGTTTCATGCTTAAGAAGCTAATTACGTCGCATCTGTAATGATCAAATTTGACAAGTAAAAGCAGTGTTCATCCATAACTTTATTTATGGGTAGACAGCAGAATCTTTGACGACAAATATCAGCTCCCTAGTGCCTGGTTCATGACACCCGCCCCTCCATTTTGCCTTCAAACTAGTGTCTGTGACACATTTCTGGTGCTAGCTGTTTTGGACACCATTTTAGTCGGGACATCAATACACAAGTATGAGGATGCACCAGAGCTATACAGGATCGATAGATAGGAAGGCCTGCTGATATGACACCAGTGCTGCTGTTTGAGAATGCAGCACTGTGCTAAAGCCCTCTCTTTGCCCTGCACAGTTAAACACATGTTCAGCAGCAGGGAGGACCTCCTACTAACACTACTTATGGTAGGAGAAGCAAACTGCACATTAGTTCCGGATTGATTTATACTGTCTGTGGTTGTGAATGAAGAAGTGTTTGGTAGTGTTCAGTTTGCTTATCGTTGCTGAAGTTTGTAGGGCGTGGACTGGCATATGTTGAAATTCTTTGTCCTGACTTCAAACATTCTGCACGGACCACTCACTCCACACAAGAAAGCAGCAGTAAGCATCCCCTTGGGCTACAGCATTTAAGAGACTATGAGAATAGGTGACACGGAACAGGAACAACTGCTGGAAGAGGGATGTGGGGGAAATGGGGGAGGGAGGGCTGGTGGTGTGGAGATGTAGTAGGGAGAAAGGCTTACAGCAGAAGACCATCAGCAGCATACACAATATGCATTCGAAGATGTATTCACTGACTTTGACCCCTCCAATGGGGGGATTGAATTCAGCACTGCATTCGTGTTCTCGGGCAAGGGTCCAGGCAGTGATCATTGTGGCTACCTTTGTCAGTGTCCAGTCATGGGACATCACATACAGGCAAACATTGAAACAAATACAAATACAAATGTGAGTTTTAATCGAACACTGAAGGAAACAAAACCAAACCAACAGAGGCTGAATGCTATCGCCACAATGCCAACCAGATTTAAACATCATGACCAAAAATGTAACAGTCTACAATGGTATGCCAAACCCAATGCTCTACAATTGGAAGCAGGTATCAGTGGGTTTCTGTCTGGCTTGTACTACCTGTCACAGCTGAGCTCTGTCCTGGATAATCTCAGCTTCCTGCACCCCAGTGTCATCATCCTCCTCCTCAGGTGACTGCTCCTGCTCCCCCAATCCTTCAGCATCTAGCTCATTGCCAACTCCAATTATGCAGAGCACCACATGTCTGAATGATGCAGCACACCCTGTGTAGATGATACCTGAGGGCACCCCCCACCCCCCCGCTCGCCCCCAGACAGGCCTGAGCTGCTGAACTGCATCTTCGGCAGCCTATACTCTGCTCCACCACTGCCCTGGTTCAGGCAGGAGTGACATTATCTCTGCAGTCCATAGCAGTGAGATGTCACGAGCCATGTCACACCGAGCAGTTGTCCCTCAATAATCAGCCTTGCAAGGTACCAGAATGGTATCCGTGCACCATAATGTATAGATTGTGCAGTTGCCAGGTTCGCAGGCACACATTTTCAGGGAGTGGTAAACAGTGATCACCTGAACATTTATGGAATGGAACCCCATTCTGCTGACAAATTCCCTTACATTGAAGTACGGCAGATATGTTTCCCAATCCAACCGCCCAGACTGCAGTACTGACCTCGTCTTCGGAGAACAAAATGAACCGATGTGAGCTTATGCAGATGAGATTAGTCACTGCACTGATAGTTTTCTGGGTGCATGACTGAGGAATGCTATACAGGTTACTCATCTCTCAGTATGACCTGCTGCTGCTGTTACTCCTGGGTTTGCTGTCAGTCCTGCTCCTTCTGCATTCATCATGCCTCTTTAGGTAGGCAGTCATAGCGACCCACAAATGCCCATAGAGCATGGACCTCAAATGGATGTCATACAGAGCAGGTAGCAAGCCACATCTGCTTGATACACCACCTGGTTTGCTTGTCGAGTTTTTCTGACTCTCACCTACTTGGCAAGTTTGGTCAGATGGGAGTCTGAAAATAAATGAGGGAAGTTGTGGTATTACCAAGCCATTTAACAATTAATAATGACTGTGAATTGGCATCTTGCTGCTGCAGAGCTAGAATCCTTCCCCGTTACTTGTGAAAAGTATAAATGATGGAGCGAGATGATCACAACATTGAGGTAGGCCACGCCACACTTGCCTCCCAATTCAGCCAAACACCTTGCTTTGGGAAAATTGCTTAGACCGCTCCAAGATTCTGCTTCCTGCACTAGCTGTGCTCCTACTCTCTCAATGCAGCTGGATAGAAAATTTGCTTTGTGGTGTGATGCTACCTTAACAGGGCATTGTTGGGATATTGTATTAAAGAGCTTAAGAAATTAAATGACACCATAAATGACACCATTGACACTGCAATACTCAAAATATATCTCCAGCACACACCAATATTATAGTGTTCAGGAAAAGAGCAGCAAATGGAGGCTAACTGGCATTAATAAACTACTGTTCAGTAATACTCCAATAATGTGGTATTGAGCTGGTCACAACTGCAATTTATACGCTATTGATTAGTTAGCTAATATTAGATAAGAAAAATAATTAGACAATTGGTATGGTTAATACGCGGGAAAAGGAGAATAGCATTCAATTGAGTCACTTGAGGAAATGTAATATAAAGTGTACTTTTTCTTATCGATTCAGACTGTTCATATACGTCTTCAAATTATACATAGTTTGGCAACTTGGCAATATTGCACGTCAGATCAACTTTCTCATCCGTGACTCAACTGATTCAGGATTTGTGGTAAAGCAAACACTGGTACTTTCCTCCCTCTGTGATTCCAGTAGGGGTGAGTTGGCTTGCTAATAGAGATAAGATTTAGGCCTCTGATGGACACTTATCATTAGATTAACCAAAGAAAGAAATCATTTATGTTTTTATACAGCTTTTTAGATCCTCACTGTAACTTAAAGCACTTCAAATCACTGTGTAGTCATTGTTCTGAGATAGCAAGAGCTGTAGATATTGGAGTCAGAGACAACACAGTGTGGAGCTGGAGGAACACAACAGGTCAGGCGCATCAGAGGAGCAGGAAAGTTGATGTTTCGGGTCGGGCCCCTTCTTCAGAAAAACAGGTTTTGCAAAGTTATTTTAGTTTTCCTAGAAGGGGCTGATTATAAGACTGCTTGTGAGAGATGCGTTTCATTTGATCTATGTTTCAATCCCTTACATTAGTAAATTGTTGTCACTTCAAGCACGAAGGACTAGAAAACTAGATGAATGTCTGGAGAGACCTGTAGCTCTGGAGGAGGATCTTCTGTTAAGAGATTGAGAAAGGAAAACATGCTTCCATTATGCATATTTTAAAATGACTGTAATAAGAGAAGCTTCACCATCAAATTGGCGCTTCCCTCCTCCTCCTGCTTCTATTAATCTCCCTGCCTCAGTGCAACATTATACCTCCACATGCGTTTGTGCACACCACCATTAAGACCCAAGAGGATAATTTAACCTTGGTTTCAATGGCGCATGGTTTTGTTATTTCCTCTACCTTCATATTGAAGATGAAAAATGGAGATATAGCTGATTTACTGTGTGAATTTAAATATAGACTCTGATTGTATGTGTATCTTTTTGTATGCAGGTTCATATGTCTTTATGTTTATATGGAACTCTAGTGGGAAATCTTTCCTTCTTGGTTGTGGAAAACAAGACCGACGAGGAATACATCAGGACACTGTGGGAATTCGCAAATATTACTGGCTCAGGAAGCTGGCAAAAGGCAACATTGAAATTGCCAGATGTGTCTGACAGGTATAGTGTTTTCTGATTTATATATGAGAGATGGTATGGCCCACTTACTCAGCCAGGAAATTGTCCATCGTGTGGCTCACTTTAGTTTACAGCTTATGTGTCTAGTCATGATATATAGAAAATAAGGCTTGTATTTATTAGATTTATTTATTTAATGTCATGTGTATTATAAATATAATGAAAAGTGATGTTTAGTGTCGGAACTCCTCAGCGCCATTTTGAAACACAGAATATAAAACCAGAAGATACAGCAATAGAGTTCATATTTACATTTGTTCTTGTTTTGGGCTGCGGGGTATATGGAGTGGGCTCTAGATCTCGAAAACGATTATTGCCTCCACCAGTGCTCCTGCGTCTGCTGTGCCCTGGTTGAGCCATGGGCCCAGCTCCGGTCTCCTCCATCCCAACGCCGAGACTACCACACCTGAGCCAGAGCCGGTCATAACCTGGGGCTAATGTCACACCATCTCCGAGGTCATCAGCACAAAGCAGTCGGCCAGCCCTGAGTCCTCACTGCTCATCCGGCAACACCGCTGCTCTTTCAGGCACTCAGTGGCCCCACCGACACCGCTGCTGCCATGGCTCCTGTTCTGGGTCCACCACCACCACCATCACTGTGACCAAGCCCATCAAAAGAAAACAAAAAAGTAAAAGAAAAGTTTGAGAAAAGGTAAAAAGGAAATGAAAAGCTGACGTTAGAAAGGAGCGGACGAGCCCTGGGCTCAGGAGTGTGAACCTTGCCAACGCCACTGCCTGTTATATAACTCCCTTCATGACCTCAGCATGTCTCAAGATGCTTTATAAATAATTATTAGTTTTATATTGCAGTCACACTTGTAGCTACCATGGCAGACAAATAGCGCACAGTAAGCTCTCACAAACAGCAGTCAAAAGACAAGATCATTTGTTTTTGTAATGTTGACTTAGGAATAGATCTTGACCAGGACACTAGGGATAACTCCAGTGTTCTTCTTTGCCTGGTAGTGTGGCATCTTTAACACTTTGAGGGGACAGACAAATCCTCTCTTTAACATTTCATCTGAAATACAACACCTTTTACACAGCAGCCCTCCCGCAGTACTGCACTGAAATGTCAGTCTAAACTCTTGCTCATGTTTCTGGACTCAGGCAGAAAGCTGAGGATTTTTGATTTGGAGTAAAGTGAGCTTCTGATAATTTCATATCAGCCAAATGGATTTGAGGATTCAGATCTACAAATGATTCCAACATTGGCCATAGCATAAGCTGTCCAGTGACACAGCTTACCTTGACATGGGAACTACAGTCTGACATCACCACAGGAGTGGGGGCCCTGAAAACAGCTACGATCACAACCTGTAATTTCAAGACACATTGGGCAGAATTTACAAAGCTCTGTGGATGCAGCTAGAAGCTATCCAAAGAATTACATTCTGACCCTCTGCATTTCAATGGGGTTCCTGATAGGTTAGTTATACTGGGGAAGTTGGTAATTGTTAGGCCATCCCTCTGTTTGTCATCGAGTTAGGTACAGGCGACAGGCTGCAAAGGCTGGAGGGGCAGTCACTGCTCCCATAACAAATAGTGACCAGCAGCCCCTTTGTGAAAGACATGTGCTGCTGATGTGAATAGAGCAGGGGATGGCAGCATTGGATGGAGGCACAATAATGCTGATGTGAACAGGCTGCCAATTCCTTACGCCTATTGCTATACAGTAGAGGTGCATCCGTATCAAGGCTGTACACAAGGCTGGTCTGAGGATTTGCCAGATTGTTCCTTTTGGAGTTAAATCTTCATATTCATCATGTAATGCCTGTGACATCTCACTCTGCTCCACCCTCCTCTGCATAGGTGAGTTACAAATGAAACAGAAGGCCCCACGTGCCTGGCCAAAATTGCAGTCCCTTTGAGAAGTGATGCTATTCATACAAGTAATTGCCTTAGTTATCTGCCCACCACTTCCTGGCTTGTCACTGTTACTGTTTCAATGTTTGAGGTGCTTTTAATTCTGCCTTTCCTAGCGTTCCCTGCTATTGCCTGACTCCATAATTGCCTCCACAGAGCTTTGTAAATTCTGCCCAATGTGTCCCAAAATTACAGGTTGTGATCGTTGTTGTTTTCAGGGCCCCCACTCCTGTAGTGATATCAGACTGTAGTTCCCATGTCAAGGTAAGCCATGTCACTGGACAGCCTGTGCTATGGCCAATGTTGGAATCATTTGAGGATCTGAATCCTCAAATCCATTTGGCTGATATGGAATTATTGGAAGATCTGAATCCTAAAATCCATTTGGCTGATATGGAATCATTGGAAGATCGAAATCCTCAAATCCATTAGGCTGAAATGAGTTCAACCACACCTAACTAACAGTCCTAATGTTTCATGCAACTCTCTGATGACCATGTTATGAGGTTGTGTGCAAACAACAAGAAGGTAATTGAAAGAGAAAATCTTTGCATAGCTGAATACTAGGAATGCTGGTAACACACAGCAGGATAGCCAGCATACTTGGAGAGAATAAGATCACACTTTTCCACTCAGTCCTTGCTCTAAAATCTGAAATGTGAATAAACATTCTAATTGGATGAAAATGAAGAGGAGGAGGAGGAGGGGAATAAATAAACATAGAGGAACCATTAGGAGAATGAATTAACCCACTGAAAACTAGGAGGTTTGTCTGTTGATTGATCAGATTTTCACATCAGACAACGGAAGGAGGCGTTAAATAAATTACAGGCATAAGAGAACTGAATAACTTGTTAGTATCTCAGTTAATCTAAGAGGTGTACCAAGGAGAAGCTGAGAGACAGCAAAATCATGGAAATTCAGCAAATTGGATCTGAAATAAACAAAACACACGTTGGGGGTATGACTGAACAATGGACTTCAGACTTTATTCGAGCCTCTGCATTATTTACAGTGGATTGGCTGGACCAGTGGTGACCCTGGGGGTAGATTGCTGTCTATCTCTAGCAGGCCCTTCATCAGAATTCAGTACAAACAGGCTTCTAGTTCACTTACCAAAAATTAAAATGAGCGTCAACTGATGAGACTGGAATGTGTTTCCTGTCATTTACATGACAGCAACTCTTGGTTAAGATCTCAATTTGTAGTTAACCTGTCTAAGGTAGAGAGTATTGCATTTGATTGCACAAGAATTTAAATTACACAAAAGTGATGGACCGGTGATCATTCAACACATCTTAATTCTTTTAGAGGCATCTTATTACTACCCCATTGTATCTTTCTGTGTTTCTTTTTATTTAATTTACCAATGTGCCTCTTCTATTCTGTATGGAAATCTATTCCATATGTTGAAAACATAATGAACTGTACGAGAGATTACAAAGTGGTTTATCATCATTTGCATCTACTAAATTAGATCGTATTCTGCAAATCAGTTGCTTTTATTTATTTTTATTTTATTAGTTCACATAATTATGATTTAGTTGACACAAAATTAATTGAGGACTATTTTGCATCTCACTGGGAAATCAAATTGCAAATGCATATTTTATTTTACTGCCAGTACAAAAAGTGCAATACATGATATTTACTGCTGGACTTTATCTACCAGTGCTGTACAATTTTGAAGGTTTAGTCATGCTAGGGGGATCCCTGTAATATAAAAATGTTTTTGGCAAAATTATGAGAGATTTGAACTAATGTGAGATTACAAACTGTAGGAACTGGTCCTGTAAGGCGAAGACCAGGCCAAGGCTCTGCTTGAAGCTTCTAATTGTCCAGACTTTTTAAAAAATTCAATCACAGGATGAGGGCATCGCTGGCTAGGCTAGTATTTATTACTCATCCTTAATTGCCCAGAGGGCAGTTAAAGAGTCAACCACATTGCTCTGGGCCTGGAGTCACAATTTAGGCCAGACCAAGTAAAGATGGCAGTTACCTTCCCTAAAGGACATAAGTGAACCAGATTTTATTTTCCGACAATTGACAATGGATTCATGGTAATCATTAGACTCTTAATTCCAAATATTTATTGAATTCAAATTCCACCATGTTCCATGGTGGGATTCAAACCTGGATCCCCAGAACATTCCCTGAGTCTCTGGATAGTATCACTAGGCCACTGCATCCTCATCTTGAGATTATTGAGAACTGTTACGCAAACTGCTCTTTCTTTCAGAATAGTTTCTCGAACCCCAATTGTAACATTGGAGTAAGAATTTTATTAGCAATGCAGAGTAGGATTCTGAGTGGAGGTGTGACAGTGATGAGGAATAGCTGGCAGGAAATCCACAAACTCTTTTGGCACATTGGAATTACCAATTTCAACATGTAAACTTTGAACCGCTTTTTTGCTCCCAAGTTGGGAACATGGACTCAGGAAAACTTCTGGTCCAGGAAAAGTTGCCCCAAGTCTTTAGATTTTCATTCTGGGAGAGGTATGTACACTAACCGGAAAGGCCTGGAAAGAGTTCAGAGGTAGCTACACGGCTGTTGGGTGGTGGGTTTGGGTGGTTTAATGACCACAATCATTTAGAATTTTAAAAATTGCCCACTAGCCCTCACCTCACAACCATTCTCCAAACACCCCCCATTCCTACCTATGCCAATTCATGCCATATCATGACCTCACCTACCCCCATGGCTCCTCATGCCATCCATGTGCCAACCTGTGCCCCTTTAATGCTTGCCCAAGGCCCTTTTAGCCCCAATGCCAACTCATACCAAGCCAAGACTTCCTGCTCATCCCCAGAGCCCTTTATGAAGGTACAAACATTGCACCAACTCGTGTAAACCCATGTATCTCCACACATTACCCTTTGTCCTTATACCTTCCATCCCAATTCACTCAGAATCTCCATGGGTAGACATCAGTAGCCACGTTGAGATGAAGTAAAATAAAATTCTATTTGTTGCAGACTTTATTATATTTGAAAAAGATTCTCATTTATAACACTTAAATTCCTTCAAGTACTTAAGCCTTTGTAAAAGCAAGCATTTCCTTCAAGCACTTAATTATCTATGAAAGCATAAATTTGCATTCATACCTCCACATT